TATAGGACCTTAGGTTTAAATAAATATTGCTATTGCAGTAAAGTTAATGTCAGCAATACGATCTTGTCAGTAAGTTAATAAAACGTCGCCTGCCTAAGTAGACCTATTAAGTACATGGAACTTAGGTCAGTATATAAAACACACTGGCCTGGCAGCAGCCTGTTAATTGAACTGTTGCGGCTATCAACTAAGCATTAGCAGTACCGTAATAAACAAAATATATCCGCACATTCGATTTATTTCTCATTTAGCTAACAGGATGAATTATGCCCCACTATAATATACCACGATGAGACCATCGTCTCCAGCTTGATCCAGACTTTGAATTCAATAATTCATAACTGCATATTCGGCCGCCGAGGAGTATCTTTGGTTCCAAAGGGTGGGAGTCACTAATGGAAGTTCGGTTTCACCTCAATGAAGACGTGTAATACTCGGATATCATTTTTACTCTTCACTCTGCCGTCCATGCAAGGTTTTCATACGATTTCTGTAGACATAACTGAAACAAAAGATGTAAATCAAGAGAATTTCCCCACGGACCCGTGTCGCGAAAACTAACATATGTCCTGAAGCGAGAGGCCATTTATTACACAGGGTAAGAGCACCGCTGAATTGGTTTTGTAAAGACAGATGCGGTAGACCATAAATGACTCATAAGTAGACTTTCTGTAAATAATTCACAATCAGAATCGCATTAAGAAAGACAAATTCTTTAAATCGCTATCGACACTGATCATATGAGGAAGATGATTGCTTGAGCAGCGATGGCCGATATGCCGGAACGCGTGAAAATCAGCCTAGCATACCCCCGGGGCCTGCACCTCTCCACAATAGAAAATGAAATTGTGTTTATCGAACGCCATCATTATTGTAACTAAGACGGATTCGGAAACACGTTTCTTTTTCTTTCGTCTGTATTTGCTCCGGGCCAAGGGCTCTCGATTGACTTTAACTTGACATTATTGACCGCAATTAAGTGTAGCTTGTCGTCTTAAACGGCTTCTGTCAACTTAATTAAAGTTTTATTGGTTCCTAATTTGCTAATAACTCGATTTATTGATTTTCGTATACTAATCAGATACTGAGAGTGTTACAGCAAACAATTAAAATTGTAATGTAATATGATTCCTTATCATATTATTTCTTTTTATAATTAACAAAATTAATACATATTATTATGTATAAAAAACAATAATTATATTATTATAGCACAATACTATACGTGCTTCCGGCCATGGATGGATCAGATAGGCCTATAGCTAGAACGTAGAGAATACTCTGCTTACTCGGGGATATTTTCCAACTTATAAAGATAATGATAGTAATAGTAATAGGCATAGTATAAAAGTAATAATGATAACACGTGAGCAGCGATCCATTGTTTTTATACCGTACTTATAATACTTGGCCTACATTAATAATAATAATAATAATAATAATAATAATAATAATAATAATAATAATAATAATAATAATAACAAATATTTATATAGCGCCAATTCGAAAAATTATCAAAGGCGCTAGGTGAGAAAGTAAAGCAAGTTAACGTTCCAGTAATAGGTACCGTAAGTTTTAAGATTTTTTTAAAAAAGAAAGCAAGTTAGACGAATCGCGAACAAAAAGCGGCAAGAAATTGCATATGAAGGGGCTTGAAAAGAAAAGTACGTTGACCATAAGTTTTTGATTTGCCTTTACGAGACAGAACATTATTACAAGTCAATAATTGATTTTTAAAAAATTATTCTATAAATGGCATTATTATAATACAAAAGAGAATATTATGTAAAGGTACGTTACATATATATATACATAT